GAAATCCATTAACTATTGTGGGAGTTATGGTCGTTACAAAATTAGTCCATTTTTATGTGGTTTTTCTCACTTTACAGAGTTAAAGAACAACTTTTCTAATATTCTTAGAATTTCTATATATTCTTCACCAAAATACGCGTTATTTGCATTTTGAAACATTAAAATCCTCCACTCCGTCCAGAAGTTATGATTTTTTAAATATTTGCATGAAATTTGGAGGAATGATTTCTAGCATACATCATATTTTCAGTAAAGAATTTTTTTCTCGAAAATGCGTAGGATTTCGGGAGTATGTCTATTCGCCAATAATGATTGTAATTGACCCCCGCAATCAAATATAATTTTTCCAAAACGATTTGAAATTTTTTAATTTTGTCGAAAAATTTCACACCTCGAATTTTTTTCTCGAAAGTGTGTAGGATTTCGGGGGTATGTCTATTCACCAAAAATTATTGTAATTGGCCCCTGCAACCGAAAATAATTTTTCCAGAACGATTTGAAATTTTTTAATTCAATTGTTAATAACTTTTTAACGAAGCCTCAATCAACAAATTGGTATTCTTGATTTCCGTCTTAGTTTGGCCTCTAGAATCCCCCATTAAAATTTTTCCCCGGGTTATAACACCCTGTATAAAAATCACGATTTGCTTTATTCATCTATATTTATCTTGTTTTAAATTCCTTTTCTAAGTATAATTATTTAAGGAATTTTAAACAGGATAAATATAGACGAATAAAGCAAATCGTCATTTTCATATAATCATATAAATGCTACTTAAAATTATCCATCATTGTAGGTTAGAAACAAAAAAAAGTGAGAAAAAACAAACATGGCGTCTGACAGACAATGTAATAATGCTACTTAGAAAAATATTTTAAATTTTTATGTTTTGCCTTGAAATGTTTATTAAGAATATATATAAGTTCCTCCAAAAAATAAAATAACTGCTAAAATTGAACATTTATGACAGAATAATGATCGTTAATGCAGAAACTTAAAATAGAAACGAAAGAATTGGAAGGATAAAGAGTTTAAAATTGGAAAATATGCTGACAGAAACTGTACTGCACAGTGAATGAAAATCGTTAACTGTGATGATATAATAAGCGTTTCGACGAGAATAAAACGTCTCTTCGATGGTTTCGCTGCCAAGACACGAGAATGGGGTTGAAACTTAATTCGAAGATAGAAACTCGATATGCAGTATGAGGCTGGCAAAAACATTAGTCTCACGACAATTATGACAGAAACATTTCATTTTGGCACGTTTAGAACGATTCGCAAACTATTTCATTTTTCTTCTTTTTTTACGAAACGTTATTCATTAGCAACAAAATTTTAAAGAAATCAATTAGATTATTATCATTTGCATCATACGAAAAAATAAAAGAATGCCTTTTTCACCAAAGTTTCTTTTACTAAATTCACGTAAAAATATTTAATAAAAATATTACAAACTTAATATTTCTATTATATAAATCTAATATTATATAAACATGTAAATATTTAAAACGCAAGAAATAATTGCGTAAATTATTATTATTTGGCCAATGTAGGCAAGGTTGATTAATGATGTTAGTTTCTTTGTGTAAATATTTGTCAAGTAAACAATCATATAAAATATTGTAGATAAAATGAAAAAAATGTGAAAATTGTAATAGTAACCTCATCATGGGTTAAATGTTGCATTATCCAGCGAGATTCATTCTTCTGTGATCACTATCATTTCCTAAGCTCCAACAGTAAGTACAATTTGCATCCTCGCAAGATGCATCATGCATCTTGTTTTTAAAATAGAAAACAGTATTTATACTCCACTCCGTAAATGAATTCTTCCAATCAGTCAGAGTGTGTTGAGTGTTGCAATACAAAACAGCGTTAAAACGAGTTCTATTTTCAAATAACTCCCACGTCATTTCGTTCGAGCAACCATATCTAGGCCCAGAAAAAAAATTTGTGGTTTCATTTAACATTTTTACTAATTCTATCTCTCGAAAAAGAAACAAATTTTCAGTTACTTCTATAATAAAAACATTGATTAATATTAGATTATAAGTGACTGAATGTATGCAACTATTAGACGTCTCTATATAGATGCATTATGTGCAAATTCAGTACATTATATAATAGAGGATAAAAGAAAAGTGTTGTTAATGCACCTTTTAAAAGAGTAGTGGAAAATATAAGATTATTGCTCGTTAATTCTGTTTGAAATCGCGGACTGTAATTTTGAGAATGTCGGTTGGGCAAAAGGTTCGCAAAAAATGGATATGGTGCAAAACGGTAAACAAGGTTTTTGATTAAAAACTTTACAGTCCCACAAATGAGGTACACAGGTTACAACAATAATGAGATTAAACACGAATAAATAGTAGTGAAGAATGAGAAAGTTCCGATATTATGTATTAATTCAATTACGTAATACCTTTGCAATTATATTAATTGCAAAGGATTTATGAGCTTGAGCCATGAATAAAGAGTGTGAGTAAATTACATGAAACAATAAAACTGCGTGAGCGACACAAAGAAAAGGCACACTAAATACACTGCCCGAAATTTCTATAAAGCCACCTACATTTTGGCGTATTTTTAAAAGATATTGAGAAATTTGTTACTTTTCAAATATTTGTTACATTGTATACTCAATACTGAATAGAGATACAGTGAAAACTCGATAAATGTCCTCAAGAGCTGTTCCATAAATGATACATTTTTATCCCCACCACTAGGGGGATCCCCCTTGAACCAGTGAGGCGAAGTGTAACCGGAGACGTAGCGGCTTTCTTTAAAAATCTTTATTGCCTTCGTCATCTTAGTTTAAATGTCCCTGTCAGTGTGACCACACTACTGTACAAGAAGAAAGTTTTTTATTTTTTACTTTTTTTTAATAAAAATTTTACTATCATGCGGGGAAGATTTTTCTAATTAAAATGAGACTAAACACGATATAAATCGGCCAATATTTGTTACCATAATATTGAATTAAATATTGTGTACTCGTATCTTCGCAAGGTCAGTGGATTGGTACATTTATCGAACAGTGGTAGCTAACGAAACCCCCTATTTCATAAGTGTTGCAGTTTTTGATCACTTACGAAACGGTGGAACCGTTCCGTTTGAAAATAGCTACCTCCCGTTCGATAAATGTAGCCAAGCACCTCGATGCGTCGTTCTTTGATATTTCCGAACATAGAAAAGGACAGCACAAGAAGGATAAATAAAGAGAGAAAGACTCGCAAGTACAATATTTAATTCAATATTATGCTACCAAATATTGACCGATTTATATCGTGTTTAGCCTCATTTTAATCAGAGAAATCTCCCCAACATGATAATGAAATTTTTATTAACAAAAAGTAAAAAATAAAAAACTTTCTTCTGTGCAGTAGTGTGGTCACACTGACGCGGATATTTAAACTGGGGCGATAAATCCGAGTTTCAGTCCCTCTTTCTTCTTTAGCTACTGACTCTTTCTACGTTCGAAGCGTCGGCAAACTACAATCAAATTCGAAAGACGATTCTCCTATTCCGTAAGTGTTGCTGACCGGACCCGGAGTAGCGACATTTATCGAGTTTTCACTGTACATACCCCACTCTCTCGCAAATGTTTTCGTCTTGAGTCTGTGTACATTTTCGTCGAAGGCCGCGGAACGGGAGTGCGAAATTTCTATAAAGCCACTTAGTTTGTCTTACATTTTGTGTGGATAGTGTAGGCGATGTAGACCGTTAGCATTACTTTTTCCGTGAAAGGGGGCCGTGGGCAACCAAATCGGACCGGGTGCAAAAATCGATCGGCGGCACGTGTCCGTGGATCATCGTCGAAGGATCGAGAAGGTTCCACGGCACGCGCCGAGAAGTTTTGCACCCGGTACGAAAGAGCCCCCAAAAGACGATCGGTCTAGGGGTATACAGGGTGTTCGGCCACCTATAGCAAAAATTTTAATGAGCGATAGTAGAGGCCAAAATAAGACGAAAATCAAGAATACTAATTTGTTGATGGAAGCTTTGTTAAAAAGTTATTAACAATTAAATTCAAAAATTTCAAATCGTTCTGGAAAAATTATTTTCGTTTGCGGGGGTCAACTACAATCATTTTTGGTGAGTACACATACCTCCGAAATCCTATCTACTTTCGAGAAAAAAAATCGAGTAGGTGCTGAAATTTTTCGGCGAAAAAAAAATTTTTCAAATCGTTCTAAAAAAATTATTTTCGGTTGCGGGGATCAATTACAATCATTTTTTATCATTACGCATACCACCGAAATCGTACGCACTTTCGAGAAAAAAATTCCTTACTGAAAATCCAATTAGGTGTCTAAATTTTTCAACGGAGAAAAAAAATTGCAAATCGTTGTGGAAAAATTATTTTCGGTTGCGGGGGTCAATTACAATCAGTTTTTGTCATTAGACATACCCACGGAATCCTGCCCACTTTCGAGAAAAAAAATAGAGAAGGTGTGAAATTATTCGAGAAAATCAAAAAATTGCAAATCGTTGTGGAAAAATTATTTTCGGTTGTAGGGTTCAATTACAGTCATTTTTTGTGAATAGACATACCCCCGAAATCTTGCGCATTTTCGAGAAAAAAATTCAGTAAGGGCGGCACTTTAAACGTTAATAACTTTTTAACGAAGCTTCCACCAACAAATTAGTATTCTTGATTTTTGTCTTATTTTGGCCTCTACTATCGCTCATTAAAATTTTTGCTAGAGGTGGCCGAACACCCTGTATAAGGCCGGGCCCCGATCGGTCGAGAGTTCAGTTCTTATGAAGGATAACCGTGATTTTGTCGGTATGTACGCTGTCCTAAAATAAAGCACATTTAACCTGAAACGTGAGTGAAAAGTCTCTTACCACCTTTCCAATCGGCTATAATAGTATCAGCAAGTCTCAACGAAGGAACTTCAACTGGTATTAAAATGTGCGTATTCATACTAAAATGGCTTCCTAAATTCATAAGAAATGTATATATAATATATTTAAATTTATTTTTATTAGAATGCCACGAGGGAAGTTATTAACTAGTGAAGGGAAGGCATCCATTGATGCTTATAAAGATATGGGGTGTTCTAATCGATTCATTGCTGAAAAAGTTAATAGGTCACGTACTCTAGTTAATAACTATGTAAACTTGGGCGAAGTATATGGTCAGAAACACCCTACAGGTGGAAATAAAAAATTGACCAGAAGACAATATTCATTATTAATGAGGTCAGCAGCAAAGGAAATAAAAACTGCAGCTCAACTTCGGACTGAGTTACAGCTACCGATAACAACGAGGCGTGTGCAGCAAGTTTTAAAAAGTTCAGGGCGATTTAAATGGACAAAAATGCTACAGAAACCAATACTCAAAGATCGACACAAACAAGCTCGTCTCGAATTTGCACAAAGTCATATGTCCTGGACACAAGAATGGGAAAATATCATTTTTTGCCAAGCCAGACGGTTACAAATATTACTGGCACGATTTAAGAAAAGAGACTGACGTTGCAATGAGTCGTAACTTCGGTGGTGGCTCATTGATGATTTGGGCTGCATTCAGAGCCAATAAAAAAACACCAATCTGTCGGATTAATCATAAAATGAATTCGACACAATATGCGGAACTATTGGAGATGGTCTTGATACCATTTACAGAAGAAATTGAGAGTGACAACTTCATTTTTCAGCATGATAACGCCTCAATTCATGCATCAAGACAAACAAAGGAGTGGTTAGAGGACAAGGATATCAGGATTTTGACATGGCCAGCTTGTTCGCCAGATTTAAACCCAATTGAGAACCTTTGGGGAATACTTGCCAGAAAAGTATATGGCAATTGTAAACAGTACAACTCTGTTACTGAGTTATGGACTGCGGTGAACGAGGCGTTGGGCATCCATCGAAGCAGAAACTCTTCGTACTTTGATTTCATCGATGCCTAATCGAATTTTCGACGTTATTCGAAAAAATTACACTTATACTAAGTATTAATTTAGAAATAGAGAAGAAATTTTTGTTAATCTTCATGTTATCTACTTAAAAAGTGCGTGGCTTTATGGAAATTTCGTAGTTCGTTTTTTGTTAAACTACATAACTTTACGTTTTTTTATAAATAAATAATATATCTATGAATGTAATCATGTATATGGTTTCGTTTAGTAACCCTAAAATGCTATCAAAATGCACCAGATTCTCATTACTATGACGTAATTATAAGATTTCACCAAAAAATTAGGTGGCTTTATGGCAATTTCGGGCAGTGTACGTCCGAGCGTTAAGACAGTTAGCACAAGACTGCCTAATAGCCACGCTCTTGGCCACTACGAGGTTTCGACCGGCCGGCAGAAAGATCGTTGCGCGCGCATATCAATGATGTGCAAATGCCCAAAATCGGTTTTGGGCGCATCGCGCTGTCAGCTGGGCCAGCTATCCCACTCGTGCACAAAGCGTGCCCGAGAGGTGCTGCTAATGAGTGTCGTGGTGGCCAAAGAATGAGTTAATTCTCGAACAAATTTCTAGTATTACGCTGTATACACAGAATCGTTTTACAAGGTAATAAATACCTATTATGCACAGATGCGCGTGGGTGGCAATACGATTCGGTTTCATCGTCGACAATATTGTGCTTCGAATGATCGATAATCGAAGAGATGTTTCGTAATTAATTCTTGAATCGTCTAACCGTTTTAATACATAAATGATCGTGCGATCAACATGGATTTCTTAACCTAAACTGAACGGAGGAACACTAATTAGAAATTACTGAATACAATCAATCTTTCAACGGTTCGTAAACCGTATTTTTAGGAGAGATTGTTCGCGATGAAAAATACAGTTAGACGAACTGTAATATAATTCGTGAGTAAAAAGGCCACGCGTAGCAAGGCAGAATAAAGAAAAAATATTACGGAACCCGTGGAGCAGAAAACTAATACTGCCCTCTGAGGATGAACGAATCACAAAAGTACAGTAGAGTGGACATTTCGTTCATTAGAACGCACTAATGACGATTGCATCGTCGATTCTGTTATTAACCCAATTAATATTTCCACGTACGCGTAAAAGCGTAATCGTAATCGTTCGTAACCTAAAATTCGTATCCTCGCCGGTTCTACTTTCTAACCAAGGCCATCGAACGTACTTACACGGAGTGTTCGTAACGAAGTGATGTTCGATGAATAATTATAGCACGTTGCCGTGGGTTCCGCGATCGCGTGCCAATTAACGTAACAGAAGTAACAGATTAGCGAGAATTAATACGATTCCGATGTTCTAGCACAAGTGTTCCGTAAAAGTGTAACGGCCTGGCCAGAGGCCGCTGGTCGGCTGCACTTTCGTTCGTCTGTGAGGTTTCGCACCTCGGCCACTTGGCCGAGGTACAAGTTAATCAACTCCCTCGACGCCGCATTCTCTGTTTCCTTCGTCTGAGGGTTGTCTGTCGTCGTTGACGAGCGCGCTAATTCTCGAGGGAATTTAACAAGTCTCGCTAATTGCGACGCCGACGAAATTCTTTTACCGCTCACTTTCTACGCCGCAAGAGCGACCACACTACTGCACAGCGATGACTTGATGGCTAGGCGCGGCGATTGGCCGTAGCTTAATAGCGACGCCTGCTCTCACACGCATTGTCGTTATTGGCTGACAAGGGGTGGTTATGACCTGTCAAGCTGGGATTCGAACCAAATTTGGCAGAGTTGTAGGGGCTGACGTTCAAATGTAATCTGTAAAATATTAGACGTTTAGGGCCAGCCATTTTTGAAAAAAATAACTTTAAAGTTTAAAATTTCGAAGTTGTCGGATCGAATTCGTTTTTTTTTTTAATTTCAGGTCTCAATGAGAGGAACACAAAAGTTTAATACATTTTTGTCATACCATCAATAGTTTAGCCAAAGATTTGAAAAGTCTTCGCTGTAACTGACTTTTTGCTATTTGGCCGCGAGGCTCGTCTTTTTTCTCGAATTTTTTTCTCGAAAGTTCGTAGGATATCGAGAGTATGTCTATTCACAAAAAATGCTTGTAGTTGACCCCTGTAACTGAATATAATTTTTTTTATGATGATTTGAAATTTTTAATTTCATCGAATTTGTTCATTTACTCAATTTTTTTCTCGAAAATGGTTAGGATTTCGGGGATATGTCTATTCACCAAAAATTATTGTAATTGACCCCCACAACCGGAAATAATTTTTCCAGAACGATTTGAAATTTTCTTTTTTCGCCGAAAAATTTAGGTACTGTTGATTTTTGTTAAATTTGTTTTTCATTTTTAATACATTTGTTTGACACTCTACAGAAAAGTTGTCTAATACTTTTTTGTAGGCACCCATGGGCTCTGCTTTAGAAAAAATTTTCAATGAGATACCTTTACTATTGTAGGTGTTATGGTCGTTTGAAAATTGGACCAATTTTAGAGGGTTTTTCTCACTTTACGGTGTCGAGGAACAACTTTTTCAATATTGTTAGAATTTCTACATATTCTCCACTAAAATGCGCGTTGTTTGCATTTTGAAAAATTAAAATCCTCCAATCCGTTCAGGAGTTATGACGTTTTAAAGATTGTATCTGAAGACAATCCCGAGGGCGAACCTATCCACCACAATATCGCATTTACAGCGCCATCTGGCGGGTCAGGTGTCGAGGCGAATAACAGCGAAACCGTTATACATTTTACATAGTCGAAGCATCCCGAGATAGTTGTCAGTCACGTGCAAATTGTAAACCCAAGAGAAAGAATATATCACGATTAATAATACCGTTAATGTGTGATTAATAAACCCACATCTGTCTTTTTATAATTATCGTAAGAAAGGGTATAGCCGAATAAGAGGGTCAAATGTGCCCTTGAACCAAATTTGACAAACGATAGATCCATCAATAGAGCATCAGAAAAAAACATTCTGTGAGAAATTTCAACCCTCTATCTTGTTCGGAAGGGTAGTTATAGGGAAAATCCGGATTAGCGAGTTTGTGCCTATTTCCCCTATTTAATCGAGTACGAAAATTACGAAAAAAATCTGGTGCATTGTGGTTATTGAGATACGTGTTTGAGAATTTTTTCCGATTTTTTGATTCCAAATTCTACGTGTGAAAAATTAAAAACACAGAAAAATACCGATTTCGTATTGAAGCTTTCGAGACACTAGATTTATATAATTACTGTAAATGCATATTGTCATTGGTTATGTCCCTGAATTTTTTCAGATTTTTTTATTTTTGTTTTTCTATTCTATACACCCTTCTATTCAACATAGAATTGCTTAAAACCATAGAATATAGTTATCCATTAAAGGAAATACGAAAATTCAAAGTATAAATTGCTTTTTCAAGCGAAAAACACCGAAAATATCGGTTTTTGATTTTTACCACTACGGCGCACTCTGCCAACAAATTTGAAAAAATTCAGGGACATAACCAATGACAATATACATTTACAGTAATTATATAAATCTAGTGTCTCGAAAGCTTCAATACAAAATCGGTATTTTTCTGCGTTTTTTTGCGTTTTTAATTTTTCACACCTAGAATTTGGAATCGAAAAATCGGAAAAAATTCTCAAACACGTATCTCAATAACCACAATGCACCAGATTTTTTTCATAATTTTCATTCTCGATTAAATATAGGAAATAGGCACAAACTCGCTAATCCGGATTTTCCCTATAACTACCCTTCCGAACAAGATAGAGGATTGAAATTTGGCACAGAATGTTTTTTTCTGATGCTCTATCGATGGATCCATCGTTTGTCAAATTTGGTTCAAGGGCACATTTGACCCCCTTATTCGGCTATCCACTTTGACAGACTCTAGCTAAGCTACAGGCGGTGATCATAAAATGTTTACGTTCGTGGCTATAATTAATTCGCTTTTCGAATCGAAGGTGCTCCGTTCAACGACCAAACGGATAATAATAGATGAATGGACGCGTACGATGATATCGGCTCGTATAGGTCCGACCAATAAAATCGATGCAGCGAAAATAGTAGTTCATCGGCGTTCACCTGTGAGCGACCACGTGCTTTGACAGCGATGCGCATATTATTGTGCACATGCTGAGTGGACGTCGTGTCGTTGCACGTCTGGTGAGGTCCACAACCTGCACGGTCGTCTGGTGGTCGTCTATCGACGTTGATATCGCTAATTGTCGTAAATTTATGACCCTTGGCGACGGGGGAAAAAAGAACGACGTCGCGAGTACGTTGCCATTGTCGTGTCGGCGAAGATCAAAGTCGAACGAAGCGATCGTCCGAACTCTGCGGGATATCTGCAAACCAGCATTATTCGATGACCTTTGCGTGGCCCGAAGATTCTGTTTCAATTCAAGTTATTAGGTCGGTGCATATGAAATGTCGATTTTACAAATGGAATTGATGGATATGGATAAATGATAATATGATAATTTGTTCTAGTTGTTTCGTCTTTGGATAACGGGGTACAAGTGAGATGATGATTTTGAATACAAATTAAGACAATCTGTTACTGGTGAATTCTCGGTGGCCGTTTTTGG